CTCTCTGTCTCTCTCTCCCCCCTGTCTCTGTCCCCCCCCGTCTCTCCTCTCTCTCTGTCTCTCATAGTTCACATCCTTCTATAACAGTCGGTGTGTGTTCTTGCTTCTACAATATGTTCTTCTCTTTTTTTTGTCCTTCACAATCTGTTGAACTTGACGTATTTCCCTTGCTCTGGAACACTGCAGTTATTGTTACTTCTAGTATAGCCTTATCTGTAAGACGTATTGTAACAAATTGCATTTGTTTTTCAGCTTCGACAGTGAATGGGAGACATCGATGTACATGCTCTTTCTTTGCTGAGATATATTTTACAACCTCATGAGCAAATTCACATTGAAGTATCCCATGTCTGTCTGCAGAAGTCGGGAAAGACCGTTTTAAAACAAACTGATTATTTTTTAATGCTTTTTCTTTTTTTAATTTGGTAAAACTTTGGAAACTGGGCACTTTGCCTGAACACACAGCTAGGCCACAAGGCCATTATACTTTAGGTGTAACGGATTCACTCAATTGTCCAACCAACTATGAAGCTTGTATAACTACAGAGATGCCCGTCATGCATACAGTGGGAAGCCCAGATTGTGGCTTAACCCGCTCAGCTCAACAGACTATGTCAAGGAGTCATTGCAGAAATATCAGGCAGAAGATCTCCCAGTGGGAATGCAGGACCAGCAGTGGCTCATGCGAAAACCTCCTTGATTTAAAACCCAGAAGATCTTTTAGTGCGCAAAATGGAATTACAAAATCAACTGAAAATCTACTGGATAACAGAAAGCCAGCAATAAATCATGGCAAGAACATGGACTTGGATTTTAGGGAAGGTAGTAGAGGCAACTTGTTGGATGATGAAAGCAACAAAGTAATCCATGAAGAAAATATTTATGAAGACCAGCTAGAAAGCCCACCATACTTTAGCAAAAAAGAAAGCCCTTTTTTAAATCCTGACATGGACCTTCCTCCAGGAAATTTTTACACTTCTCCAGAAATGTTTAAGAAAAGCAATGTGATTGTTGATGACTTAAGAGAAATGGCTTTAAAATGTAAGCAAAGAAGAGCTCAGAGCATTTCAGTGGAAAAGGAACTTAATTTGAGATGTCTGTCAGATCAAAACATTGCTATGAAGAGCGCAGAAGATGACTATTACGATACAGAGCCATTGAATGATGGGCCATTCATAAACCCTGTACCCAAGCCACGAAGGACATTTCGCTATGCCAACTGTAATCGCCCAGAGAAACGTATGGAGGGTAACCACAGGAGGAGAAAGTCTGTAGATGAAAGTGACACAGAATCATCTGATCCCTCCATTCCACCTTCTGAGCCAAAGAAACCTGCAAGCAGGAAACTGAGACCAAGATCAAAAAGGTTAGTGAGCTTTTTGTATCTTTTTAAACGAATCCTAAAGAGAAAGATAAATATTTATAGGAAGTATTTGATGTGTTTTGTTGAATGTTAATTTGTTTTATTATTCCCCAAAATTACCTGACAATTTCAGTGTATAGAAACAATCCCTTGTTGTTTTTATACTATTATCTAAAGATGGGTCAGTCCTTGGGGGATAAAGTTATTGTATGTTGAATAAATGTAGGCAGTGCTCAAATGTAAATACTTCCCCATTCTAAATGAAAGTCCATAATAATGGTATTGTCTGACATTATGAATCCCTAGAAAGCGAGACAAAAAGTCAAGTCAAAGGGAATGTATAGTATTTTCTGTGTCTTTTAGGCAAACAAACAAAATTAGCTTTATGTAACACACACACACACACTCTTAGGCCTTTAGGAGCCCTGTGCGAGAAAGCTTTACAGTGCCCCTCAGTGGCCACACCCTTCAGTGGCCACACCCATTTCTCCAATATCCACACCATTTAAAGACTCCCATTTTGTTAAGCCCCAAAGAAACATTAAAAAGTATGATAAAAATAAAACTTTTATTCAAAGCTAATTTTAAACTTGTAGGCACAATATAAGTATTAATAAATAAAACAACAGAAGGCAAACAAGCAAACAATAAATGTCAAACTAAAATAGAGTCTATAAAAATAAGGTGTCAGGTTGTCATGCAGACCCTAGTAAGTGCATCTAGAAAAGTAAAAATTGAAAACAGAACACAAAACCTAGACTACATGTTAAATCAATGAATGACTATTGCCCAAATATACGAAACATTTATTTGGGCACATAATAATTTGTTTGTGAATGCGCGGCAGCCATGTTGGCCACCAACGCATATGCGAATGCATGCCACCATCTTAGAGGCGGGGAGCATGACGTTGCGTGGCGTCAGGTTACGTCACACGCCGATATAGGCGCTGCCAACTTGGTGTATACCTAGATATACACCAAGATGGCAGCTCCCAACACGTGCGGTGTCATATGACGTCATGCGCCCTGCCTCCAGAACACGCCAGTGGCTGAATCCAAAATAGCATAAAAATTTGTTTTGTTTGATGAAACGAATGAAAATTTTTAAGTTTTCGTTCACACAGAGGCTTCACATTCATTCCCTATTTACTATTACCAGTTTATGAATGGGGAGAAGCCTCTGTAGTGAGTGCTTCTCTCCATTGAGAAAGTCACAGGAATGAACAGGAAGTGATGAAAATCACATCCTGTTCATTCATAACTAGGACACATAGTACTATGTGTCCCCAGTTATTTACAAACACTGGAGTGATCAGATGATCACTCCAGTGTCTGTGCTGCACAGAGGATCGGTAAATGTCACTGATATTTACCGATCCTCCATGTCGGCCGCCTGGCGCCCTGTGCGGCCGCACAGCTCGAACACCCCAAAGGGTGGCCCGACACACACACACACACTGTTCAGCCATAACATTAAGATCAACCGTCTATTGATTAGGTCCCCCTTTCACCACCAAAACAGCCTTGACCTGTCTTGTCATGGGCTCCACTAGACCTCTGAAGGTATGCTGCGGCATCTGGCACCAATCACCCAGTAGCAGATCCTTTTAAGTCCTGAAGGTTGCGAGGTGGGGCCTCCCATGGATTACTTGCTTTTCCAGCACATCCTACAGATGCTCGATTTGAATTGAAATCTGCAGAATTTGGGGGCTGCGCCAACACCTCTGACTCATTGTTGTATTCCTCAAACCATCCTTGAACCCTTTTTTTTAGTGTGGCAGGGTGCATTATCCTACTGAAAGAGGCCACTGCCCTCAGGTAATACTGTTTCCATGAAGAGGTGTACTTGGTTAAGCAACAATGTTTAGGTAGGTGGTAAATGTCAAAGTAACATTCACATGAATGGCAGAACATTGCCCAAATCATAACACTGCATTCGCCGGCTTGCCTTCTTACCATAGTGCATTCTGGTGTTATCTTTTCCCCAGGTACGTGATGCACAAGCATCTGGCCATCAACATGATATAAAAGAAAATGTGATTAATCGGATCCGACCACCTTATTCCATTGTAAGCATCTTTGGTGGTGGACATGGGTCAGCATGGGCACCCTGACCAGTCTGTGACCACACAGCCCCATACACAACAATCTGCATATACACCTTTCTATCAGAACCAGCATTACCTTTTTTTTTAACAATTTGAGCTACAGAAGCTCTTATGTTGGATTGGACTACATGGGCCAGCCTTCGCTCCCCACGTCCATCAATGAGCCCTGACCGCCTATGACACGGATAATGTTCACCGGTTTTCCTTCCTTGAACCACTTTTGGTTGTTCCTGACCACTGCAGGCTGGGAACATCATGCAAGAGCTGCAGTTTTGGAGTTGCCAAACCCAGTCATCTAACCATCACAATCTTGCCCTTGTCAAAGTTGCTCAAGTCTTTACGCTTGTCCATTTTTTCTGCTTCCAACACATCAACTTCAGGGATAAAAAGTTAAATTCCTGCCTAATATATCCCACCTTCTTCCAGGTGTCATTGTAACAAGATAATCAATGTTATTAATTTCACCTGTCAGTGGTCATAATGTTATGGCTGATTGGTGTATATCATATCAGTATGTGTTAATGCTTAGGGCCTGTTCACATGAGATCAGGTCCTGATCAGCAGACGTGGAGCTGCTGATGCAGTGTGTTTTTGACCGCGTTTTGGATGCGTTCTAGCAAAAAAAAAAAAATTATTTTTTTTTTTGCTGGAGTGGGGCTGTTAGTATGTTAGCTGCAACGCAGTGCGTTTTTGACGCGTTTGCGTATCCGTTCCATTTCCGGACCGTTTCCGGACCTGACAAAATGTGACATGCAGTATTTTTTCTGTCGTAAGCTGAACGGACTGCGCACGTGAGAACTGGAGCCCATAAAACACATAGGGATACATTGGGATGCATTTTGAGTGCAGCAGCGTACGGAGCCGGTCAGCACACAAAACGGACGTCGTGTGAACAGGCCCTAAAAACTGTGTTTCAAGAAAAAAACTATAACTACATATGTACATGGGGCAGCCACATTTGCTCATTGCATACACAGGCTCTGCTTCCTACTTTTGTAGTGCAACGCAATGGTTGCTTTACTCCTACTTCTTACCATTCTAGACTGTGGGTCAGTTGAAGCAAAGCACTCCCTGGGTGGTTGGTATTTTTTCTCAACAGTTGTTCAGAGAAAATGATTCAGGCAATTGGCCTGATTCACTGGGAGCATCCTCTTTAAGTGACTATCTGTGAATCTCTATATTTACTAAAATAACAGAAATATTTTCTAGTTTTCAAGAAAGGGCAAGTAAAAATGAAAAAAAGTTATAAAAAAATGACTTAGACTTTAAAGGAGAACTATGGGGTTAAGGCTTTTCCCCATAGTTCTCCTTAGGGTAACGGGAGGATACAAACTAGCGACCTCCCATCACCCTGAGCTCAGTATACCGCGAGCTACAGCTCGCGGTATACTGAGACGCGACAGTATACCGCGAGCTACTGCTCGTGGTATACTGAGACGCCGCAGCTGAAGCGGATCCCGACAATTATGTCTGGATCCGCCCAGCTGCGTGAGTGACACCCGCTCTGATCCGCCAGTCAGCACTGGCGCATCAGAGCGGGGAGGGGGGAATCCAGCCCCTCCCCTGTCACGGCTCTTTGCCATGAGAGGATCGAGAGCTGAGCGAACGCCGGTATGTGTTCGCTCACTTCTCGATCTACTGAGCCGACCTATGACAAGTCTCATTGTCACAGGTCGGCTAGAACTATGAGATGAGTGAAAAGCACTCACCTCATAGTTCTCCTTTTAAGGTAAACGCAATAATTACCGAAAAACCGGTATCGGTGCATCCCTATCAATAACCATATATAGCAGGCACTAGGCAGGTGACACATTTGTTCAGCTGCTGATCGCTTACCAGTGCTAGGTGTGTGCCATTCACTGTAGATCAAAGTAGGCTGCTAGTGTAGTGTGGGCAGCTAGAAAAGGCATGTTTTATTGTATTAAAAGCATTCTAGGCTTACAGAAAAATTATCTAATTGGATACTAGCTTGGTCAGGTATAATCCTCCTTATTGTAGATGGTAGATTATGCTCTCATTTTGAGAAAATATGTAAAATCACAAGCAGTGTGAGAGCATATATGAGGCCATTCTACATATTTGCCCCTTTTCCCCATGGAAGGCACAATTGGCCATTTAACACAGCATGTCAGGTGACAATGAAGTCGGGTGTGCCAAGTTGGTCCACTTGTGCCTCCCATGAAGTCATATCACAGAGGTGTTTGGGGAAAGAATATGAAATGGCCCGAAGGGCAACATGTAAAAGGCATTCCTTTTAGGATAATGGATTTCTACCTAGACAAATGTTTTTTTAAAAATTGTAATTGGGAGTACGGAAAATAATGTTAACACATAGTTTGTAAAAAAGCGTCACTGAAGAATGGCATAAAAATGCTATATGAAAATAGTCCATTTTTTTGACTGTATCACTAAAAGTTGTTTTTTAAAATTTTTTTTGTAAAACACATCAAATGTATTCCATCACCTATCTTATTCAGATGGACAATGCCGACCCAGTACTATGAAATTACATGAAAGCTTATACATTGTATGTTTCTTAAATCTCACATTATGTAACTTGTCTGTTAAAGGATATGGCCACCTAAAACTGATTTTTCAGCAGATAATTTTCCCAACTTCACCACAATCAATTGCTAATACAAATAGGAGTAGGGGTGTTTCACTCCTTTCTTTGTGATTTTTTCACATAAAAAGTCTTTAGTCTGTCTCCAAAAGACAAATATCCTATTATGACAGAGATCTGCCTTAGCAGTTACAGACATAGCAGCTATGTCTACAAGAGTACTTTAGGCATGACAAGTATAAAATATAGCAAAAAATACTTTTATCAGAAAAAAAATTGTTTCGAAAGGTTCTCATATTGCACATAATACTCAACAGTAATCTATTTGCCATAGAGAGACGTCTGATGTACGTGTATCATAAAGATGTCTTTGAAAGCAACTATTCCTGTGTAAACTCGTCTTTCATCTTTTTCATCTGCATCCTTTTTAATCCATCCCACATGCAATGTTGTGGCTCATCTAATAGCATTTGTTTGTCTCTAGGAAATCCTTTGAATATGAAGATGTTCAAACATACAGACGTCTTATACAACAAACAAACCATCCTCAGATCTCCGAAGAGCCTAGCGAAGTCACACAATCTACTCTCTATCACACATTGTCTGAAGACAACATCTATGAGGACATCATGTGTAGGTTTTCTACAACATTTTGTATGTTATAGCATCCTAAATGTGTTTTAAAGGGAATGTTCTGCATCTCTGGGCCCTATCGTCTTAATGTCAAAAAAGTTGTCAACCCCCCCACACATTTCTTAAAAAAAGGAAGATGCAAGTCCAGTGGTGTTAGTTTCTGGTGAAATCCAATCTTGCATGCTCACTCATGCAGACATTGAGTCATCCGCCCAGTGACCTGCTTCTACTTCTTGCTGCGCAAAATTGACAATCTGACACACTCATTATTAGAATTCCAAATGGCCCAGTTGTCACCCCTAGTGTCATATCGGAAGCCAGATATAGGGCAGGATTGGGCTGTTTACTAGAGTAAACTCTAGTAAAAGATGATTTCTGATTGGCTGCAATGGATTGCTGCTCTTTGAACACTCTCTGGTGATAATTTGGCTTATTCTGTAATTGCAAAGAGCAACATTGATGTGTGTGGCACAGTTACTCAAGGCAGCAGTGATTTGGACACCACAAACAGCTATGAGAATGTATAAATGGTAGCAACATATAAACCATGAGATTTTACTTTTCTGTTGTGAGATTTCTGCTTGGCTGCTATTGGTTACGGTACTTTATATTACCTACTTTCCATTTCTTACCGTCTTAGTCTACCTTTTTCAGCGATTGGTAGCAAAAGTAACTTAAATTTACAGAGTGCAATTAGAAAAATAACCAAATTGTGGTCAAAGTTCACCTGTCAGCAGAGACAGCTTTGTAAACCGGCCAAAAAATGCTGGCCCCTAACAGGGCCTTCACATAGCCCTAAGAGAAGGTTCACACCATTTTCTGTACCACATCCGGAACACACTGTGTTGCGTTTTGCCACGTTTTTGACGCGTTCAATTTTAGGTCTTGCTGGGGGACCTCTACATGACCTACAGAAAGCCAGGAAAAGAACGGCACAATGCATGCACATAAGAGACATGAACTTACCACAGTTGTTCTTTTCAGAGCTGCTCAAATGATCAAAATGTGACACGCAGTATTTTTTTGGTCTGGTCTGGAACTGACTGCGATGGTGTGAACTGATGCTTTGAAGAGCATAGGGAAACATTGGAATGCATTTTAGGTCCAGAAACAATCTGGTCTGATCTGGAGGTGATCTGGAGGTGGTGTGAATGGGCCTTTAAGTGTATTTCCACTTTTGCAGCCAAATTGGGACAACACCTACTTTATACACTGAATGGTCAGATTATTATGACCACCCCATCAGTACTTCATTGGGCCACGAGATGACTTCATTAGGCCACCTCGTGACTCCACGAGATGTTGAAAGGTGATGCGAGGAATCTGACACTGCACGGTTGCCCTTATGTTGTCTTGTACCAGTCTTGCCACTCTCCGTTCTGCCCTAACATTGACTAGTCGCTGACGGCCACAATTCGCATGTTCAGACCCTGATTTTCGTGCTGACAGTCCAGTCTTTAAACACTTTAACAACAGCTGCTCTTGAACATGTAACGAATTCTGCTGTTTTGCTGATACTCGCTCCATGGCTCAGAGCGCCAACAATCATCCCACGTTCAAAGGCTGTTAAATCGCGTTGTTTACCCATATCTTCAGAAAAAAATCACTTCTACTGTCGTGGTAAACAACCTGCTTCCCTATTTATAATGGTCTGGCCCTCTAGCAACTTCAGCGCAAAATTATAGCTAATTTGCCTTCAAACGTCAGGTGGTCATAATAATCTGGCCACTCAGTGTATTTGTTACAATCTCTCATTAACCTAGCATAACTATAAAAACATAAAATCAATTAATTTGTTTTCTCCAGATCCACAGAAGGAGAACCCTTACGAAGATATCAAAATATCTCCTTTACCATTATGGCGGGTCCCAAACACATGGAAGATCCCACCTCCACGATGCACAATAAAAGCACCCAAGGTTGGTCTGGTTTTTTTTTTTGTAAGTTTTCTCATTAAATGACTTCCTGTATCATTTTTGCAGTAAGAAGTCCCCCAGTGGCCATGGAGCTCAAGTATTAAATCAGTTTATTTACATGCACCTGCAAATGTTGGTGTAGTGAAGAAATAGAGATTGCACCCTCTACACATTAGGGAGTTGTCAAGCCACACATGATATAGAGTTAGGATTCACACTTTAAATGAATGCCACAGTTACTAAACATAACTGAGAACTAATAGAAAAAAAAGTTGTTTTCCTTTTTTGACTAAAAGTAGAGATACAAAAAGATCACAAATTAACAAAATATTAAAATAAAATTACAAGTACACATTTTATCCACCTTAATATAATGAATAGGTTCTCGTTATTGTTCATCTATCATTTTTTCAGATTCCATCAAGAACAAACTTTCTAAAAAGGCAGACATTGGAGCTGAAAAGTACCAAGCTGTACATTCACAAGAAGGCCACAAAGGATGCAACCTTACCGGTAACACTGATGGAGTGGAAAGTGTTCAAAAGTGGAGGAGACACTACAAAGAAGAAAAAGAAGTTCCCAAGGGTATGCAGGATTTGAGGTTTTGCTGTGAAGTAATAGTCCCTGGTGTGGGCATATGCCCTGGTATGCTATATGATATAGTAAGATGCGATTTTACAATTCTTTATAGACATAGCAGAGCACACAGACAGGCTTCACTGTCATGAAGCGTCTTACCTGTACAATACAGTGTTCTTTACTGTCTTTTTTGCTATTGCTTTTATGTTAAAGTGACCCTAAACTCAGGAGTTAAATCTTAAAAATGGAGTCAAGTACATTACAGATTAATAAAAATGTATGTTATTTGTGTATCACTGAGCTGTAGATCCTCAAATCATCTCTGAATTCATGCAGTCACTGTCCTTCCTACTTTTGTTCCCCATTGTCCCTGTGTGTGTTGTAAAGGAGCCACTGCTCCAAGCTTGCTCCCGTGATAGACTACAATTTTAAGTTTAATTTGTATTGAGATTGCAGTCCATCATGGGAGCAAGCTTGGAGCAGTGGCTACGTTGCAACAGACACAGGGACCATGGGGAACAAAAGTAGCTACCCTCCAGAAGGAAGAAGAGTGTCAGCATGAATTCAGAATTGATTGAGGATCTACAGCTGAGTGATTCACAAATACGTTACATTTTTGTTAATAGTTAAGGCACTTAAGGTTTAATTCCTCAGTTTAGTGTCACTTTAACAGCATGAAGATAAAGTTTGCAATAAGGACAAGAGTGAGTCAGATAAGCACAGCTAAGGAAACAAGGAACACTAGTCAATAATCCCTATACAATCGGTATATTTTTCAGATAAACTTTATTTATATACTTTCTCTTCTCAAAATAATAATTATCATCTTGGACAATATATAAGATGATTTATTAAGCCAAGTTAAACTCACAAGCCCAAATAACAACACAAACAACAAGAATTCAACAATCGATTTAAAGATTTTTTACTTTGTTTCAAGTTACACCTATATTCAGGGTGTAACATGAAACATGGTCAAATCCCCAGACCTCACTCCCAAACCACCCTCCTATTACCAGTATCCTGGGGCTCTACTCCGCACAGAATTCTGTAATGTACTTGAAATTAACGTGGCTGTGCCGTGCCACCTTTTGACAAGATTTGTGAATGGAGAGACTACAAGTTCCTCTGCCGTGGCCACTGCACCTGTAAAGGACAGGCAAAAAGGATAGCAAATGAAACACAAAAAAGTAGAAGTTGTACATGGTAAAACTAGAAGGTAAATTAAGTCTAACACATCCATGCTAAAGTCATAAGTGGACCCAAACATCTCATTAAATCAGCAGGGCTAACCGCTCAAATTAGATAACTGCAATAAGTTTTCGAGCTGTACTGAATAAAATGTCTTTACTCCAGATGCAACATTTTTTTTAATATCCTTATCTTCGTATGTTAGCTTTGTAAATTGAGTCTCGTGTCTCATATTTCTGTTGGCTGTTTTTAGTGTTTTCTGAGATCAATGGAGGAAACTGTACAACTCCTCTAAGTACACAACCGTGGCAATAGGGATGTGACACTTCGCTGCCTATTTCCAATAGAAATATCAATGGGCAGTAATCACTGAGAAAACTCGTTGTCCCCTGAAAGGCAGTTTTTTCATGTTCAATGTTACAGATTTATTCTACAGAACATATTAATGACTTCACAGAATTTATCAAAAGATTAAAGCATTTAATTCCTTTACAGTGCACCCTGCATATTAATATTATGAATGATCATGTTTCATTTTGTGTTCACATGTAATCCAGATGAAGTCCACTGCTCCTATACAGGATGTATTTTTTTAAGAAGGAAACACACAAAAGATCCTTCCTGCTTCATCCCTGCCACAACTTGTTATCTCATTAATGCAATATGTGTGGCCTCTACTAAATGCATTTGTCTTCTGCCAGCCTCTAGTATCTGTTAAAGCCTATTTAATTGGGTGTGGAATACTTCTCATGGACTACAGCTGACCTTTGTAATTGCTTAGCATTGATATTACTGACATTTATTTAACTGTATGTTAAGCCTGCACATAAAAAGACATGTGAGCAGATTAAGCCAAGCAGCATCACTTCTACTTTCATTTCAGTAAGGAAAAGACTTCAGCAATAATTTTTTTTCTGACTCCTCTTTTTAGAGTGACTTTTATAGCTAGAAAGGCTCAAATCAAGGGGCACTGGTGTGTAATTCATGTTATAGATTCCTGCATCACTTTAGTTTAGTTCAGTGTCATCTGTTTAAAAATATATTTCAACCCAAGTACAAATACATAATATATTGCAGCATGCCATTCCTTAGATGTGGTGGTTGCATTCATTTTATTCAGTTTATGAACTTTTTCAACAAGTACAGAAAATATCTGTTGATCTTGCCAGAAATACAATGTCCTAATCGCTTCCTGTGAATTGAACTGAAATTTCAAACAACCTTCTCTTCCTTCCAAGCTATCTTATGTAAACTTTAAAGTCCCCTGCCCCTATGTAATAGAGATGAAGTGAGGAAGATGTATTTGTTTTCCAAATCAGGAGGAAAACAAGAGGAAAAAGGAAAACTAATGAATCCACCATTAACTAATGAAATGAATGCATCTACCACATCTGAACTTACATTTTTGGCTTCAGATTAGCTTCAACAACTTCCACGTAGTATATTGGGCACTTTTGTGTAAATTGACAACAACATGATATAATCTAGAATTTTAATTTAATTGGTCAAGAAAGTAATTATATTAACACAGTTATCTTTTTATAGCTGGTAATGAAAATACAGGATATTTTTGATACGAAGCGTGGAAAAAAGAAAGTCAAAGTTCAGACATTCAATGGACAGGACACTACTTCATCCAAAGGCAAGTCTTTAAGATTGAATCCTTGTTGTATCATTATGCAGTGTGAGATTTACGGCCACATAATACCAACATGGAGCTGTGGAATGCTATATATATATGTTGTATTAAGACATGCTCCATTGCTTGCAAAAATAAATCTTTAACAGCATTCTCGCTAAAATATTGGAGGTTATCTGTCATGTTGCTGATAAAAGATAAACATATCTCTGAAAATGTCCATTAGATGAACATCAAATCTAGGTTTTATGGTAAAATACAAGTTAAAAAAACAATGTTTTATCTTTACTGATTATCACTACCATTTGATATTTTGCAGGAGACGCAAGTGAATCTGAAAGTGAAGCAGAGGATCGTCAGAAAAGTAAGTAAAGTAATATGAAAGGAACTGCAATCTCAAACATTATATGTGCTTAAAGTATATTTCCACTTTTGCAGTCAAATCTAAGAAAACCCCTTATATGTTTATTATATGTTTCTGGTCACACAGCATATCTAAAAATAATGAAAAAATATATTTCTTACCTTTTTTGTCTGTGTAGCAGGTCTTTACACCCATCAGTTGTAAACTAGATTTGAACAATGTCTGTCCTAATTTCAGATACTAGAGGCTAATTTCTAAATGACAGGAAACTCTGACCCCATAAAAAAAAACTAGGGACAAACTGAGCTTATCAACATACAATGCGTCCAGATCTTTGTTAGGACAGACATTGTTCAAATCTAGTTTACAACTGATAATGAGATCTTCCAGCATAGTACAAAAAGGTTTAAAACTTTGTATAGAGAGCACATTTTTTTCAGAATAGAGCATTTATTGTGAAAGCAGCAATGACTGCAAAAGTGGAAATACACTTTACAGTGTTGCTAAAGCAAAACTGTTTTTTTTTCTCTAGTTTTAGGTAGTGGTTCTAACCATTTCTCACTCTATCACACTTTTAATGCTATCTGCGTTATCTAAAAAAAACAATAATTGAAATGGTGTCTTTAATCTAACAGACATCACAGATATTTTCTTTGCGTACCAATGTTTATAAGATAATGTGCTTTCGTTGGCAGTATGCTGCATTGTTTGTCTTTTGATAGATTTTTACACTTTGTCATGTTGATATTGTAGTTAGCATTTGCCTTGTCAACTAGTTTTACTTTTTGGATTTTTTTTCCATGGTAATACATTATTATAATTAGTGAAACAAATTCTACTTCACTTCTTCTGTTAGTGTTTTTTTATTACTTGACTTTTGTAGGGGGCAGCCCTCCCTGTTCTACAGTAGGCAGTACTTTAAATTTGGCCAGGATGCCAAGGACTTTGTTGCCTGACACCCAACTCACCTAAGCCAACCACCCTGTCTGATATTATGAGATCCCCACCAATTGAAGCAAACTTGCATATGTTAAATAGTTTATGTAGATGGGAACAAGCAGAGTGGTGGGCTACAGCACTAGTACTAAAAGCAGCAGGGTCATGCCACAAGTCAGACTGTGGCAAAAGGAAAAAAAGGTCATCTTAGGGCTGGTCATGAGTTAGAAACATTCTTGACAGTTGGCCCATGTATGGAGCAGTTATACCAGAGAACAGGTGGTAACCAGATAAAGAAGCTGTGTCCGAGATTTATTATTTTAGTACTGGCACTGGTACCTCATGTTAATAGTAATACAATTAGTGTGGCCAGAGAGCATATTTAATGGAGATCAAATAAACACTATCTGTATGTGAACCAGAATAGCATGCTTTTTTCAACCTTGTATATAATCTCGCCACCACTCCCCTTCCTATTAACTCCAGATAATTTGGCCTTGTCACAGATTTCCCATCATTTATTTAAAATTGCTGGCTAACTGAAGTTTACCAATCTTGTTTGAAAAGAAAATGTAAAAGATGAGCAAGATAATGGCTTTATAAATCCAGAAAACCTTGTCTTTCTTGATGGACCAGCCTAGTTATCATAGATGAGAAGGTTGAACGTGTGTTTACTTGTTGACTGGGCAGGACTCATAGGCCATCTTCACTAATCTCATGACACCCATAACAATGTTTCCCAACAGATGATTTACAAGGAACCGAAAGTAGCAAAATAAAGTTTACGCTCCCTTGGGAGACATTTGATCAAAGCATTATGACATATAATGACTGCAAAGTTTAAACTATAGAAGGCTTCATATTAACAGAGTAAAAAAAAAAAGACTATAAGCATGAAACTAAGTTCAGTCATGTTCTTTATTGTCTCATGCAGAACACAATAAGCGTTTGGCTCATGTCCAGAATTCCCTGAAGCGCAACCCTCATTACCAGACTCTAGAGCGGGACCTTATTGAACTTCAAGAACAGCAACTGTTTGAGCTGTTTGTGGTTGTTTCTCTGCAGAGGAAGCCGACAGGAGATACCTATGTTCCCTATATAACACAGCAGTACCCCAGTAAGGTAAAGATTTTATAACTGTTAAAGAATTTCATAGTATTCATGTATTAAGCATTCCATACATTTAAATTCAACTTATCGTGATTAACAAGTTACGCCAAGAAACAAGACAAGAAATGTTGGTGGAAAAACTGTTATGGGGTTTTATATTTGGAACAATTGATATGTCAATAGCCTGGTTTTCTTTAGGGATAACTGGGAACAGAAGTTCATGGCAATGTTACTCTCATGCCATTAGTATCAAGTTGATTTTTCCACTTAAATTTCAGGTTCAATAATGCATCCTGTTATTTTCAATTATTCAGAGATCAAATTCCATCCACCCATTATCTGGTTTCCATACCACCAAGGAATAAGGGTACCTACAGTTAAGAACCCCCTTCCTTAAAGGGTTATTAAACCCTCTGCTAGCAAGCAGTAGATATATGCAAAAACTTTAAAAAAAAAACAAGGTGGAGGAGTTTTCAATAGAACACCGGGCAATTGATTTTTGTGGCTTAAGCCGACAGGGAAGGAGGGGCCTGATGACGCGGTGCAACGCTGCGCCGATCCCAGAGCGACGGACAGGTAAGTCTGTTACAATCTCAGGGCAAAAAAGTTGAGCTGAGGAACATATATTTTCATACCACCCATAGAGGTAATATTTTACCTCATAGTATAAAGGTTGCTAATAATAGTAATTTTGGAGTTTTATTTTACTACCTGAAGTATATTATCTGTATAAAATTCATGCTTTTTGACATTGTCAACAGAATGATCACCCACTGAAGCAATCTAAAGACACAGAGGAGAGGTTAAAAGTCATCCCACAGTTTTGCTTCCCTGATTCAAAAGACTGGGCTCCTGCGTCAAATTTTAAAAGGTAACATTTTGAAATCAATACTCTACAACGCTGCGAAATAAAAAATGTTAGATGGCAGTCAGAAAATGCATACTCTTTACTACCCTGCATATTGCAGCACATTCATTTTATTTAAAATATGCAAGTAAAAGATGCATAACCTTCCAACAATGTCTTGTTTCAGTGAAACCTTTTCATTTGTACTGACCGGTGAAGATGGCAGCAGATGGTTTGGCTACTGTAGGAAGCTTTTGGTAAGAAATATTCTCCTTCCTAAAAAACCTTGTTGGGTGTGGGGGGGGTTGAGTGTGGTGAAAAGAAACCTTGGGTAATGTAAGGCTATGTACTCTCTGACAGTTATTTTTACTGCTTTACAAATGTTTATAGTTTTTCCTGGTAAAAAGATAATCGTGAACTGCTTTCTAAATATAAAAAAAAAAAACTGCCTGCAAACTGCTCCTGCTATCCTGCTATTTAAAGACATGGAGTTAGGCTGAGCACAGGTGGTTACCACCTTTTAAAAAACAGCATATATTTATATTGTCCCATCCATTTTAATTCAGACTAGTGCAGTGAATGGACCAGATTGATTTTCAGGAAAAAACGTCTAGTATAGCAGAGACCACATGTCCAAGACATTGGTCATGTGACCAGGAACTGACTTTAGTGTCTTACAGCAGCTTTAAAACTACCTTTTAAAAAAAAAAAAAAAAATTGGGGTAAATATTAAAATTGAATATGGGTTTTAATATATGGTCAGTGTACATATAAATAGACCTTAGCTTTTGTTTTAATTTAAGCCTCCTGTAAACTCATATGTTATCTAATATAGAACAGTAGTTGGTAAAACAAAGTTACACTGAGGTCAATTATTGTCTTTTAGCCAGGTAGTGGTACTTTCATGTACTTTTTTGTAATTGTCATTACTAGCTCAGTCACATAATATAATTTGTTTTACTGGTATAATTACATTTTAAAAAGTAAGTTGTTTCAAACACATTTGAGGAAAAGAGAAAAACTGGCCCAATAATTGTTTTTAATGTGTTCATAATAACATTCTTAGTTGAGGTTTATTTTAGGTCATGTATTAATGAAAAGAAAAAAATATTTTATTCTCTGTTTTAGCCGCAGGGAAAAGGCAAACGTCTACCTGAGGTTTACTGCATGGTTAGCCGTCTGGGCTGTTTCAATCTGTTTTCTAAGGTATGTCTTAAGGAAAAAATGTTGTAAAACTTGACTATAAAAGTTATTGTGGCCAGCAAGTATATAAACTAAGCAGGCTTTCTAGCCAAATTCCAGTCAAGAAATTGTTTAAATATTCGGATATTGTGGGAAAGGTTTAGAACCATTCACTGTTCTTTATCACGGTCTTTGAGCACCATCAAGCACCTTCCTGTGTAATAGCTTGGCTCCCTGAATGTTTGTTTTTGGATGTATGTTTTGTTTTTGGATGTTTTTGTGTTTTTTTTTTTTTGGTTTTTTTTTTTAATAAGATTCCTTTTGTCTGCATTATGGAAGCATTGCATGCACAGGTCCTTTTTTTTTTGCAGTGTTTTTTCCTATAATCTTACACAAATGTCTTTCTCCTTCAACTTCCATTAGATCTTAGATGAAGTAGAGAAGAGGAGAGAAATGTCTCCAGCTCTGGTGTCTCCATTTATGCGCAGCGTCATGGAAGCTCCATTTCCTGCACCTGGACGAACCATAACCGTAAAGAGCTTTCTGCCTGGATCAGGAAATGAGGTATTTCTATTCTCATACTGGTTGGCAAACAGATGTCTCACTCCGAAAGATGGCTAGAGACACATCTACATCCCCACGCTACTGGAACCCAAAAACCAAATGTGCTCTGCAACTCTGGTGATTTTTGTGTGTGTTTCCATTTCTTTCCATTTCTTTATGGAAGAGGGGTAATCAATGCCTACATTAACCATGATTTTCCAAAAAGTTGGAAAATCTCTGTATGTGTATGAGATAATAAAACACTTCCGAGAGTTGTAAGAAATAAGTAAATTGGAAACTCGAAGAAATGTTCTAAAATCACATTCGGAAATTGAGCCATATATGAGCACCCTTATCTTTCACCTGGATGGGGTAAGATAGGCTGGCCATACGTATAGGCTGTAGTGATTCACCTAGTAATGTAGCTGAATTAGGCATCTTTTTTTTTATTTTTTAAACTGCCCTGAATTAGGGACAGAATCTGAGTTATAAGAAACACAAATGTTGCAAATGCTCATTATAATACATATTTTTAAAAATGTGGAATAAACGATCTGATCAGCAATTATTCCCATTTCTATACAGAAAATAGAACATTCTACTACTACATCATGAAAGTCAGCCAAGGGGGAGAGAACAGTGGTGGTGTGTTTAGTCACACAATTGAGTGGTCAGATTCCTTATTGTCCAGGAGCTGTCAGTGTGTGGCACACCTTAAAGTAAATCAGTCAGGCTTTTAAAGGGATATTATAAGTCCTAAATATATACCATTAACCTGTATGCCAGATTTTTGTGAATATGTAGTTATTTCAGACTTACTGACACAGATATTATTTAACATTTCAGTAAAAAAATATATATATGTTTTTTACTCTTTAAAACATTCATGAACATTTTTATAAACATTACATGGGGCACTTGGTATATAAACAAGCATATTCTTGTTAAATTATCACCTGTTGCAATTACAACCACTCAAGAAATCAATAGAAACCTTGTGTCTGAGGCGAGGTTGACACCTGGGGAACTGCTTTTTCAACCACGATCATGCGCGATTACACAGGCGGAATCATGGCACGATCTGCCTGGCGTGACTGGGGTGCCACTAGAAAATAATAGCACTGCCAGCGCAATCAGTGGTGGTGTGCGACACCATGACTGCGCGGCCATCCGTGCAGTTTGGTTCATGATTGCTGCACGGTCACGGTGTCGCACATCACCGCTGATTGCGCTGGCGGTGCCATTATTTTCTAATGGCATCCCAGTCGCACCAGGCAGATCGCGCCGTGATTCTGCCTGTGCAATCGCGCATGATCGCGATTGAAAAAACCACGTGGTGTTTGGAGCGACAAAGGGTACATCAATGGGGCTGTGCGGCAACCGCTGGGGACAACCGCACACAATTGCGCGGTCCCAGAATGCGCGTCCTGGGATCGCTTTAAGTGACATTAAACCCTCAGATTTTTTTACATAAACCAATACTGTAATGTGTGCCTTACTGTAATCCATGGTTGTTTCCCTTCTCTTTGCTGCTCTTCCTTTTAAATCTGTATCTCTTCTCATGCTTGGGGAGAACTTCACTTTGCAGCTGAGTGCCTCTTCCTGTAGTGCTGGCTCAGGTTGCAAACGTACACACAGACACCATGTAGCCATTCCAGAGACAAGGCAGTCTGCTGCAAAACAGAAGTTCTGCCCAGCATGAGAACAGATACAGATTTAAAAGGAAGAGCAGCAAAGAGAAGGGAAACAACCACGGATTACAGTATTGTTTTATGTTAAAAAATCTGAGGGTTTAATGTCACTTTAAGTGCTGTGTATGATATATTACATCACTGACTTAATCCCTTTATATTTATATACTGGGTATATTGAAAATACATTAAAGGAATGAAGCACAGCAGTGTTAAAGTAAAAGTCTTAGCCCTCTTTAGATATATTATTTTGCTAGAAACATCTCTTCAAAAATAACATATTGTTAAACTTTATTAAATAAACATTTTCATAAACTCTTTATCTGCAGGTTATTGAGCTGTGTCGGCCAATGGACTCCCGTCTGGAACATGTAGACTTTGACTGCTTATTTAGGTGTCTCAGTGTTTGCCATCTTATTAAAGTTTTTGCTTCTCTGCTGCTTGAGAGACGGGTTATCTTTGTAGCCGACAATCTTAGGTGAGAGAGTCATTTTAAAGATGTGCTTTCTTTTTAGTACGTTTTCTTTTTCCTTATGGTAATTTTGGCACAATCAACCTTTAGCTCTTTGCACCATTATATTTGTTGTTATTCTCCCTCCCTATTGCTATCCTTTTATTTCCTTGAATAATAGGGATGCACCGATACTGGTTTTTCGGTATCGAGGACGAGTACCAATATTTTTTTATCGTTAATCACCGATACCGATAGTCCCATTAAGGAAGCCAGGCAGCGTGTAATGACTCGCCACCTGGCTTCCTGATTAGCCGGGAAGCCAGGTGGAGTGTAAACGCGGCACCCGGCTCCCTGTTTGGCGGGGGAGCCGGCTCCATGCTCCCTAGTCATGAGGTGACGAGGGAGCATGAAGCCAGCTTCCCAGCCAAACAGAAAGCCAGGCAGCGAGTCATTACACACTGCCCGGCTTCCCGACCAATCGGCGTGTAATGACTCTCTGCCCGGCTTCCTTATACTGGAAGTATCGGGCTAGGCATCGGAGCATTTGGGCGAGTACGAGTAATCGCCCAAATACTCGGCACCGATAACGATTCTATTATCGGTGCATCTCTAATAATAATTATAATATCAACAAATGTGTCTCTGTCTGTCTGTCTATAACAATTGTTATAATATTATGTATTGTTTTTCTCTCTAGCACGTTATCCAAGTGTGCTCATGCAGTGGTTGCCATGCTTTATCCTTTCACCTGGCAGCACACCTACATCCCTGTCCTTCCAGCTTCCATGATTGACATTGTGTGTTCTCCAACTCCATTCCTTATTGGTATTCTTTCGTGCTCATTACCTCTACTAAGTGACCTCCCCATTGAAGAGGTGAGTAAACTAGTGTTTTTCTCCCTTATTGGGTAAATCAATTTTATAGGTGCTTATATCACCAATTTTCAAATAGCAAATAAGAAAGAGACATAATAAATATATCAAATTGTAAGAATGAGAACTGTAGTGTATGTTTTCTACAAATTTTCGAATCCTATCCAGTCAGTTTACAGGTTTGTCCAATCACTCGTATATCTTCTCGTTGTGAAACGTATCTATGAAACTATTTTTTTCTTCTAGGTTTTAATTGTTGATCTCTGTGGCAACAAGTTCATTCAACAGGTGAGAAATGTCCTTATCTTTATGTAGGCTCTTCCATTATTTGTGACTTAGTTATTATTAATGTTATTCATATGATTTGTGAGAATGAGATAGCCGTAGTAATTGATTGTTGCTTAATAGACCATAAGTCTGTTACTTATGGGCGGTGATACTCTCACTAGGTGTATGCTTTTTTAAACTAGACAATTGTATATATTTAGGTCATCTTTATTCACCTGAGTTCAGGTGGATGTTAGTCCCTGCCCTGTGATTTATATGTGCAGTCTTTTGTAACTCTGGTTTCCAAAACTGACAGCTCAGTCTGGTGCTTGGGGCATTCTGCCAAAATGTGGGAGTTCCATAGATATACCATCTGGCCTCCCTCCAAACCTCTCCACCTTTTCTGTACAGCACCGAGTGCACAATGCACGTTTTCTTTTGTCCCTGCACCTGACCTGCCCATATGAACATCATCATTTGGACATCTCCTTATAGGTTGCCACCTAAATGACACATTGACAGGTTTAACATGTTCAACAGGGAATAAATAGATGTAATAAGAGATCAGGGTAGCTGAAAGCTAAAAATAAGCAGTATGTATATACATTCGATTTGTATGTATAGCCAAAACTTTTAGTTTGGATAGAGAAGAGAAAAAGATAATATTAATATAATTTATTTTTTGTCCCTTTTGGGAAGATTTCCCTGTACTTCCTGTCTAAAGAAGCAACTTCGACAAAATGTCTACAAAATTGCCTCCAGAAGAGATGTCCCTTTTGGAAAATGTACCCTCAACTTTTGTTGTAGAGACGACTTTAAAATGTTGGGTTTCCCTTAACTTTCTGTTTCAGTCACACTGGTCTCTAGGACAAATAAAAAAGGATGAAGAGCAATAAAAAGTTAATAGCGGTCCTATTCCTTCTCTATTCTATCCCAAAAAACCCCAACATTTTGATCTACATATATTTTAAGTACTGCTTCTAAATATGCAAATTTGCAATATGTTTCTTTTATTTTTTTTCAACCGCAGTTGTCAGATGAAGATGACATTTTACCTCACAAGCTCCAAGCTGCACTGGTCCAGATCTTAGAGCAGAGAAATGATATCCTGTATCATGATCACAATTTCACTGAAGGTGAGAAGGAATGCCTTGTCTGATCTTTTTAATAGAGAAACATTTGGAAGTCTATATACACAGCTTGTAAATATTCTAAAACAATAGCAAAAATGGCTGCATACTTCACTCAATGATGCCTAGGCCTCATTGATGTAACACCTCTCTTTAAAATTGGAGTTTTATGTAAGCAATAGCTGAAGAGATCTGAATATGTGAGACTTTTTTGGGGGACTTTTCAGTTGTTTTGCTTTTCTATGTATTTGTAGATATCCTTTATGCCTTATTTGACTTAAGGCACACATATGTGATATATTTACATATGATATATTGTATTGTATCTGTACTATTTTAGCTTGGCACATTATTGTTTATACATTTTTTTCAGATATTTATTTATATCCTTTGTGCTTAGAAGTTCTTATTCACATTCACTTACTGGCGCTGACCACTTTATTTAATATTTGATTTGCCCAGAGTTCTTTTTTAACCACTCTGTGTAGTAATATGGAGAGGGGTTCCAACCTTTTTCAACTCTCATGGATTACCTCATTTCCAATTTTTTTTGCGATCTCAAACAATATTTATGTATAATATTAATATCTATAGCTGAACATATGCAATCTTATTAGAACTCTTTATCATTTTTCATGCTTTCAATAATATATAAACAAGTTTACAATTTTAATTTAAAATATGTAAAAAAATTAAAGATTTTAAACAAGAATATAGTAAGTAATGTGTAAGAAAATGTGTAAGAAAATACTGCTAGGAAACCTATAAATATTAGGTATATTTTGGTAACTTAGAGTCTTTATTGTCATAGTGTACTTATTTTTTCATGTAATAGGAGTAAACCAATGTGTTTTTCAAGTTATCTTTTCAGTATTCATTTTTTTTAAATAAATCTGTTTAAGTTATAAGTGATCAGCCCATTTTCTGGTGCAGAGAACACTTCCAGTACTTCTTTGCTTGACGCTGCAAAATTGTTCCAGTATCCCCTCAGTTTCCAGAAACTTTCAGTTTAGTGTAACAGCTTTTGTCAGTGCAATAAATGCTTAAGGGAGGGAGTTGATACTTTTCTTTTCATTAGGCTGCAGTGCAGTTTTTATAGTGGTCTGGCATAACTTTACCTGTAGCACTTCATAAAAAGAATTCCTGGACATTTTGAAACTGTTTATATGGATGACAAGTCCACTTAAACATTTTCTAGGATACCTCATTAAATGTAATGATTGTACTACTGCTGCTTTATGCTTGTTAGACTCAACACATTAATTTCATCATCACCAAATTATAGTATATTAAATAGACTGTCTTGTGCATATAACTGTAGTCAGGTGTTAAAGTAATATAACAACACCATTCACTTTCCCCCTACATGAGTTACATGTACTTACACTGTGTTTTGTTTTCTCTTCTCCCAAAAGAAGTCTCTCTGAACACCCTGGTATCAGAGGCCTTTGTGTGGTTCTTTGTGGAGATTGTTGGACATTACTCTCTGCACATGTATGTGAATGAGAAGGGTGAGCGTATTTTCCAAAGAGAGCCTTTTCGCAAGTCGCATACTTCAAGAAGTGTACGCCAATTTCTTGATCTCTTTATGGAGACACAGATGTTTGCTGGATTCACACAGGATCGGGAGTTACGAAAGAGTATCGTTAAAGGTAATGAACAATGCCTTTGGTGTCGTGCACCTTTAAATGCACCTAAAATGCAGCATTAAAGTGGAACTAGACCCACCAATTTAATGGTCTTCCAAAACAGTTACTTTCAAGGCTTGCCAACTGTCAAGGTTGCCAGCATGCTTATTTCAGCTCTCAGCTGAACTTTCAAGCCCTCAAATGGCTGGTGTCATATACTTGATCATATGTGCAGAACCATGGTAAATGCAATCCAAATAGAAGCTAAGATGGCGCCTTCCTTTTCTGTAAATGATAAGAGGTTGTAGTTCCGCTTTAATTTACATATTAAAAGGTGACTTAACCGAGCTGTTTTGCATTAACTAAACATTTTTGAATGAAGAGATGGAGTAATCGTGTGTAACCCTTTTGCTGCCAAGGCTTTTTTTGCATTTTTTTCACACATGTTATATTCCACATTTTAGGCCTAAAAATTACTTAAACTCCCAAACTATGTGTATATTTTCTGAAAGCAAAGACCCTGTAGAATAAAATGGTTGCAATTTTTTAATTTGTACGATATCGGCATAGCTCTTTATTAAACCCAAAACTTTGGTAAAAAATGTACCAAAGTCAATTTTAGTGCCCAAAAACATAATTCTCATTTTTTTTAAATCAAATATAAAAGATGAGGTTATGACAAGTAAATAGATACCCAACATGCCAAGGTTAAAAATCTTGGGCGTCCGTGAAAAAGCAACAAAATACGGTACCTCAAATTGTCCACAGGTGACATTTTAAAAGCCCATACAGGTCATCAGTTTAGAGATATCTGTGAATATTTGCCCTAGACTTATTGCTCTCACTCTGGCGCACGCAGCGATACCCAACTTGTACATTGTAGGTGACAGGTACTCTTTAAGGTGACACTAGGGGTCTAAAAGACCCCTAGTGTCAACCTTTTAATTCCAGATAAGCTATTGTAGCGCTCCATAGATCGCGCTCCAATAGCTTATTGCCCATCTTCTGCAGCCGAGCAATGACAGCTAAGGGACCGGAAGTGATGAAATCATCGTCTCTTCTGGTTCCTTAGATCAGGAAAGAGATCAGTGAATGGATGTTTGCGGGTCTGCTCCCTGGCTTCCAACCGACACTCGACATGCCAGTCCCGGGCCCGCAGGAGGGGCAGCAGAGCCCGGGAAGCAAGGCGGAGGTAGGCGCACCTCACCGACCCCTGGAAGTGATCTAGCGGCAGCTCAGACACAAGAATCTTTTCCACTGTAAAGCCAACAGTTGGCTTTACAAATGTAAGCAGAGTCCCGGCGGCTATAGTTTAAAGCAGTGGTTCTCAACCTGTGTAACCTCAGGACCCACTTTTGTCCTCGTTAATTAAGTCGCGGCCCAAGGCTTACTGCAATGGAACGCAGAGCATTAGGGTACCACACGTTTCGGTGCGGGTGTACGAACTGTGGGTGGGAAGTGCGTTTGGGGTACCATTCAAATGAATGGCAATGCAACACGCCTCCCACTTCACTAGTGTGAATGGGCATTCAAAAACACTGACACACACAACCACAGACAGGAAGGTCCTACCAGTCCCCTTACCTTAGTAGAACTGGAGGGGCTCCTCAGCCTGGGGTCCAGTGTGGGATGCTGTGCCGTGATGGAGCTCCATCCATATGTGTATTGCTGGTACCGGTCCCTTGCGGGCCCTGTAGAGGTGCTGGCAGCCAGAATGTGATGTCACTTAGGTCCAGGCACCTCTACAGGACATGCGAGGGAGCTGTAAGCAATGCATGTATGGATGGATGGAGCTTCCTCGCGGCCATAGCTCCTGCTCACCCAACCTCAAGCTGACACTCAGCACCGGGCAGCATATTTTGAATGGCTCTTGGCGTGAGAACTGACAGTGCTGCACTGGGGGAAGCCTCTCGCCTAGAAAAGTAAAAGGCACGTGGCGACCCAGTTGAGAACCAATGGTTTAAAGGGGTCCGTTGCCACTGACGTAAGAGATATGTCCGTGGCAGAGAAGGGGTTAATAGAGGAGAGAGACGGGAACTGAGTTATCAGTTTATTCTACAATAAATAACTTGTAATAACTACTAAAGTGTACAGAGATTGCTTTATAAGTGTGAATACATTTTTACATCCTAACCTTTACCATTTATTTTATGCAAATTATGGATTAACTTGAGTGGTATGAAGCCATATCTTATGAGCAGTCAATGTTGATACACTACACAGTTGGAGTTTATTTTCCTGCTTTTACCATTAAAAAAACCCTTTGAAACTGGATTTAACCTCAGTCCAGGCTAAGGTCTGAAACATGACCAGCTGCATCCCTTCCTTACCCCTGAGCTTCTGGCAACAGAATGGTGCTAAGGACACAGGTTCTTTTAGAACATGACCCTGAGGTGTGGTCTTGGTGACATTTTGTGATCTGGTAAATTTCTAGCAAATATGTAGAACTATTAATTCATATTTTTGTGCTTTTCTGTTTCCAATTCAGGTCTTTTTGAGGTACGAGCCTGTGAATACTTGAAGACACTTCCTGAGACAGAGCCCAGTGGAGTCAATAAATTTCTGAAAGGCTTAAGTAAGTTTGATTGAGAACCATTATAGTTTTCGTTTACCGTAAATCATTTTATTCACAATAACATTTAAAACAGGGTGCTTTTCATGATTCAGGGTGTGTAGAGCATGCTGGGATTACTAATAACAGAGAACATCAGTAGCTCTGCACATGTCCTAGACAGGAGGGTGTGTCTTTCCTCTGAGTCATTCCAATGACTCATTCAGCATGTGGGTGTAACCTGAGATCCTGATATTCTGGTCTGTACTCTCAACATAGCAGTAAATTGGAAATATACAACCCTGGAGTATCAGACATGAGCTAGCCATACACTGCTTACATTTTTTTAAAAGAACTCTCGTACGAAAGAACGTTCATTGGTCTTTCTATAACTTGATGGGGTCCAATCGACTTCGGCCGTGGTGATGAAAAACTCATAGAAGCAGGTTGGAAAATGTATATTAAACGAACAAAATTCAGTGAATGCGGTTTTCTTTTGGGAAACTCAATTAATTCCTAAATTGAATGTTAAAATCAAACAACATTTTTATAGACTTTTGCCATGTGTTTGATCGCATTATGTACAAACATTCGTTCAGAAGTCTACTACTGTATGGACAGCTTTAATCTGGCAATACACCAGAATAATTTAGTTAGAAACAAATGTGTTTTTGTTGAATTTCCCAATGGTTCATTGGGTCAAATGATGATTGATTTTGACCATAGTGATGGAACAAACAAAACTTAAACCAAAACAGTGAATGTGGTTTTAGTTTGGGAAACTCCTTTAATTTCAAATAAGAATGTTAAAACTAAACAAGATTTGAAACAGCATTCATCAGTCGACAAGTATCAGAAACTTGCCTATTGGCACTAGAAAGCAGGTTACACAGAGTTTTGGTTCCGGTTCCTATCAACTTAGGTCATGGTGAGGCGCAATCAGCAGACTCTTCTGTCAAGGTAAAAGAGGACTCTGGTATATTTTGTACCCCACAGTGCAGAGATGTGGCAGGTAACATAACCTAACATGCTTTAGGTCACATGACCTAAAAATGGAACCACCTAGAACCTGCTTTCTACAGCTGACAGGTACCTTTTTGTTGTCTGTCTTAATTCACCTTTCTATCTAATGCTTGCCTCTGCGATTTAAGCAGTTTTACAAGTAAATTAATAAACAATAACTTGTGTGTTTTTACTTGCAGGTAGTAAAATTAAGTTTCTTCAAAAGAAATAAAATTTAAAGAATCAATTCTATACATTATCGGCAGATCTACTGCAATGTTGAGGTCGCTGAATTACCTCACCCAGGTTAAAGCTTATATGGAGAATTGAGGATACAGAGAATTTTCTTTATTCACTACGCTGCCTTAACCAGAGTGAATGGTCAGAGAGGAGAAATGTAAACTGAATATTTGCTCCCTACTGCAGCCAGACCTTGTTCAGTGGACAGATGGACGCCATTAAATAATTCCATGTGCAAAATGGAAAAGGATATGGATTGAAATGATGGCATAATCTGCTTCAAATGGAAGGCTTTGGAGTTTATTCCTGTTGCACAATAAACATTGGCAGTGGTGTGCAGCGTTAATGGCTATGCATTTAGGGATGTGTTTTGTATTTGTCCATACATACAAACAAATCTCAAATATGTGTATGGCATATATGAATTCTTTGTTTCCTGCAAAGTCTGAACATTACTGAACATTCACACATCTATACAAAATTATCTACCAACGTCTCAACATTAATCTTAGTTGGATGGGCAGAAAAGAGAAATAAGACTACAGATGTTAAGAATGAAAAGTATCACTTGAAGGTATCAAGAAAGCACTTCTTCACTAATTTATGTGTATGCCGTAAATTAATTCTGGGTTTCATGCAATGATTGAACATTAAAGAACATTCATACATCTATAAACAATTATCTACCAACGTCTCAACATTACTTTTAATTGGCTGGATGTAAAGGTTTAATATGACTACAAATGTTAATAATGAAAAACATGCATCGAAGGTTTGAAGAAAGCACTTCTTCACCCACTTACGTGTAAATACCAGATGTGACTGACCTTAATGAAGAGGGGAAAAAATGTATTCATGTTTGCATATACTGTAATGCCATCTGATCCCATAGAAGATATACACATCTTCTATTTTGCACTGGGATTCCAAGATGCCATAAAGGTGTGTTGCACACCTTCACATTTATATTTTTACATCTGATAAATATTCACTGTGAATTGTACTATAATGTACACTACCCTGTAAAAAGTAATGTATTTATATGATCTTGTGCAGAGGTGTTCGTTAATTAATTATATGTATTTACAAAGTAAAACTTATCACCAGCCTTTAAAAATATTATAAAAGATTTTAGAAATGCACTTTATTTCACCTGTTTAAAAATAAGAAAAATGAAGTGCCTTTCCTGAGCACCAATTTTGCACCTGACGTCACCTTTTAAAGCAGGAAATCCCTTTTTGGTAGAGTGTAGTTGGGTTTGATGACCAGATCTTTAACTCCTTGACCAGGGGTACTTTGTGAACAGAGTTTTTGTGGTCTAAAGGTGTTAGCCCTTTCCTTTTTTTTTTTTCCCCCGGATGGCTGCAAAGTGTTCAGGCTCAATTTAACAGGCCATCTCTTTCTTTCTCTCTGCCACCTGACAGTAAGGGGCGATAATTGTCAAATTACAGTCATAGTCAGCTGGCAGTTAATGTGTTTGGCTCCAAGACTTCATGCTGCATGGAAGAGCACATATGCTTTTTGGTAAATCTGTGTTCTATTGCCTCAACAGGATGCAGATCTGTGGATATCAGACCTTAAGGGATTAAATGTCTCTGAAAACCCAGCAGGCATTGCCATTGCTGTCTGTGCTGCTTTTAACAGGTCAGAAGCAATACTGAATATATATATTCCTATGAAGGATCCGCAGCAAAGAGAGCCCAACTTCAGCCCTCCAGCCTTGGGGAACTACAAGTTCCATCATGTTTCTGGAAGTCATGCCTGTGGTTGTCAGAGTCTTGGAATGCCTTATGGGTCCAGTCGTTCCACAACAGCTGGATAACCAAAGTTTGGCTACCCCTGCTCTATAGGGCAGGAGACATACAGTAGCAATATTGGCAGGATTTTTTCTGTTTTAGTGTATAGCTAAGCGCATTAAGTAATTTGTATTTGGTCACTGTATTTGAATAAACAGCATATTAAATTGTATGAATATATTGATGACTAGCTATTGTTATCTGATAGTAGCACAGAAACACTGTTAACAGTTTACATTTTTATATAGTATGAATAATGCCTATTTGGAATGATAGGTGACTGCTTTTTGGCTGGGTTATTTTTTGTAATATCTAATGCCTGTCTCACTGTATCTTTAGCTTTTAAATAGTAGGTCTATTTGTGATTTACACATTTATACTGCACCATTTGCTCTGGATGACCTTTATGTACCATGTCTGCTGGAGCTTATCAAGCCTTAGGTGTGATGGATGCATTAGTTTTCCTTTCTAGGCTTTTTTTTTTTTTAAACTTTTTATTTTCACCTGGTGATCCAGCCAGTAAGTCTGTTTTTAACAGACCAAGTTTTCCAACAAAAGTGTCAGATAGTGACAGGGGTGCTTACAATGGTCGGATTGCATTCATTTATTTAAAACCTTTATCCCAAAAGGGAAACAATCTTGATGTAACTGCTTAAAAATTGTTAGCTGGAGTTCAAATGTAATTTCTAAATCATGTCCATCTAAATCTGCAAGTGCATCTAACACTTCCCTTTCCACGACTTGACAGTGCTGCTCCATTGCTCATCTATAGAGAGGAGTGGCCAAATTATCAGGGTATAATAAAGGAAAGAGTGATTAAAAAAGAAAAAAAGTCACTACATGTAGGGATCGGTAGGCTGCAATATATGAAATTGTTGTTTTTGGGTGTAGATACGCTTTCACTGTCTCAATGATGGCACGTGAAGAGTACTTGTTTATTGGAAAAGTGGACACCACAGAGGTAAATTCTCACTACAGCAGATTCCTTTTAGCATGCGGTCACCACACATCTAAAGCGGTGGCACTTTACTCTATCAGGAAATACATCTTGAATGCCAGTCTTAACATATCCTAATCCAGCAGGATCTTCCAAGCTGGTTAATGAAGTACTACTGTTTAGGCTCTGAGTAGAACATTATATGATATCTTCAAAGAGTATTTTGTGTTTGAAAAGATACTGTCTATGTTGATTGCTGTACATTTGTAAGTAATGTAAATATATTTTTATATTGTTACTGTTCTCCTGTAAACCTGTATGAAGATTTTTTTTTTTTTTGTCATTAAAGGTTACATATTACATACAGCTCCTCTTGGCAGTTCTTTCTAAGTGCTTTCTAATAAAACGAGTAATCACTAAATCTAAAATTCAACAAAATATACAGTTGAAACTCATACTGTATATAGGAATTTTCTTACCTCCCAATGGATTTGCTGTTTCATTCTGCCACTCTTGTGTTTTACCTGCTAATCTTGCTAAATTGCCAGATCGCCAGGTAGTTGGCAATTTTATTTTGTATGTTATCTTCATCTGTTACTCACCTCTGCCAGTCTAGAGCACTAATTGGTGTAATTTACTATCCCCCACTCTGTGTAGTCCTAATGTTCTGTGAAAGATAATATACAGACACATTGAGCAAGCTTATACTCTCAATATTTAAAAGTAAATAGTTATGTTTTCCATCTAAAGATACCATCTAAAGATCAGTAAAGATACTGATATCTATTGATATCAACAACAATCTTTCCATAAGATTATGGGGTTTATTCACTAAAGGCAAATAGGCAGTTTACTTTGCAAGGGAATTTTCACTTTGTAGGTGCTGTTTCCACGTTTCCCCTTGGCTAAGTGAATGTGGTGAAATTTCACCTTGCAAAGAATACCCAATCACGTGCAAGGAAACTAAAAGTAACAGTATTTTTGCTTGCTCATGATTGGATGATGGCAGTCAGCAGAGCTTCACCTAATTCACTAAGCTAGGGGCAAAATGCCTACTAATTACTGATACTCAGTTGCGCATAAGTAATATGTGTCGGTGTTTTAAAAGTAGCTATGTTGATAAATGGATATTGTGAAATACAGAAAGCCCCCTCTGAATGTTACAGAAAACACCATACAGAATGAGAATGGGGATGCAAAATCAAAACAATAGTAAACCAGATGATAAAATAATAGTAAGCTTAGCCAGCCAAAGTCCAGAATGACTACAAATCATCCTTGCAGCTCTTCTCAAAAACTCAAAGGGGCGCCCTTAGCAACTAAAAAATAAAAGTATATAAGAGAGCATCGGCATAGCGTAGTAGTTCCATTTATTAGGAAATATTAATTTGAAACAACTGCACTCACAAGTGTAGATCTTTGTGTGGCAACAGGAATGCGACAGAGTATGCTGCAGATCCTGTTTCTAATGGACCAGCTGGGGTGTTCTGTAGCTGGAGTGGAGCCGGCAATGGAGAGATTTGGACAAATGGAGGTGGCACCTGTGTGTTCCTTCTGTTTCCCCTTAGAGATCAATCTGTCTGACAGCTCTGGTGCATCTGTCCGCACAAGATTATTGTAGCTAGGGACGCATTTTGAAGAATCTCATCCCCTTCATCAGTCTCAGGCTTACTTCTACACTGTGCAGAAGTGATGTCGTCCCCTACCCCAGTGGATAATTAGATAAAAATAAAGGCAAAAGGGTGCATTTGGAAAATGACTATTCTCCCTCTGGGCAGGTTGTTACAAAAAAATTGACTGTGTCCAGTCCCAGATAGTGGAAGTTTAAAGCTCCTGAGAAAACCACAACAGCATGTTATTGATATGAAGCTCAATATATCTAGTATTGTTTCTCAAAATGTAAAGTGTAGTTGTAATTTAAATTAACCACCACTCCCGAAGCCTGAGAGGGAATTAAAATTTGGTTCTAGTACAAAAACTGTGTACTGCCTGCCAGCATCCGTTCTAACCCCATATCTAGTCAAATGTTTATGGAAGGACAGGTGGGACAAGTTTTTCTTTACTGGATAAGATACCAGTAGTATTTTCTACTGTACAAAATATAAATAACTCCAACAGCTGTTATGCGATAAGCTTCAATTTACCAAGCCAACACGTCTTATTTGCCAAATTTTTTAGGTATAATTAATATTATGTTTGGCTTTTATTTGCCGTCATTGCCAAAAATAACCATGGTCATTGCAAATCCTATATTTGGGA